GTTTGATATAAAACTTTTCTATTTAACCGCGAATGGCGAATGGCCAGAGCCGCTGGGCAGCCTACGCAAACTCTTCTCGTGCGTGCACAAGCATATAACATCCAGCGAAACACAAAACTTTGTCTTTTGTCATCAACATGTTTCAATTCGTTTAACATTTATATAAAAACATAGGCATGTGGATGTAATGTGCAGATTTGATTGTTTTAATGTAGTTTGTAATTGTCGGGCACAAGGCCGACATGGACATGCACGAAGAAAATTCGTGACCTAACGACATAACATTTGGTTTTTTTCTGATGTTGATGACATGCGATTGTAATGTAAGTATAACAAATTGAAAACACGTTTCGACCTCGTTGTGCGAGGTACACGAGTTGTCTACTGCCATTACACGCATCGGTAGAAACTAATAAACGGCACCAATTTGGGTAGTATTCCTATTGAAAATATTATTTTATATTCTTTTTCAAAAGATTTATGGGGAATTTTCTTCGCGTATGTGTTTTATTAAGTATCAAGGGTGTGATTTGATATCTTTATACATTTTTCTGAGAATGTCGTTAGTATTATCTAAATAGAGCAATATTTTCTTTTTAATGTAGAAAAAGAAAACAAGAAAAAAATTAACCAGCAAAATATATATAAAAAATTAAATTAGTTTTTCTATTAATGTTAATTTAAATATAAATTCATTTAAATTTTTTTGAATAAAAATGCAAAAAATGACAAAATGAAGTTAAATTAATTACATACTGTAACAGAATAAAATGCAAAACAACAAATATTTTAGTTGGTTCGAATTAAATTCAATTAAAATCATTTTCATCCACAACTCCTATCAAATAACACTGATAAATTTAACAGAAAATAACGAGTTCCACAACACAACGCCCAAAAACAAATTATTACTAAAAGTGTTACAATTCTCTTCCGATGCCCAACCCCCATTACATTTTTTCCGCTCGCTTTTTTATTCGATGTAAATTTAAACATAAAAAATTTCCACAACGCTGTCTGTACTAGACAACAAATTGCATGTTTTATATTATGTTAGCGCACCGCCCTTCCGCCTCCATCCCGTGTTTGTCGACTTTCCGGCCGGCGTTTTTGCATGTTTTCACATTGTGCGTTGTATTTAAACGAGCGCATTTTTTCCGCAATTATTTTTCATCTATTGTTACAGAGCCACGCCAGCGCCGTTAGTCGAAAGCATTAGTTTAGTAATTTTAAACAAGCGCGCCGAATAAAGCACGGTGGGTTGCGGACGCAAACGGCCTCTCGCAATTTGATTTATATCGTCACAGGATTTCGGGATAAAATCGCACACAAAGCACCCCTGCGAGGACGACCGCACACACCAACATTACCGCGGTGCAACAATCAACATGGGTCACAACCTGGACGATTAAGGGTTGATAAATGGATGAGTAAGTCGTAGAAATCTCAAGATGGAACAATGTTATGCAATTTAATTGCGAACAAAGAAAATTATCCGAATTATAACATAAATTTAAATATAAAATAATATAAATCATAGAAAATTTAATGTTTTAACACCCAGTGTAATTAATATTAAACGTAAAGAGGCAAAAGGGGTGCAAATTAATTTACGTCTGGCTGCACATCTCTTTGAGAGGGCGGCCGCAAGCCCATAGGTATATACCCAAGTGTGCGTACGTGCGGCGGCGGAGGCGGCTTATCGCGTTTTCTTATCACTGCGTTCGGTCGTAACTATTAAGTCCCGTGCATGCACGAGTAAATAAACGCACTGCAAACGCGTTGGGGGTTGCGCGCGGAAACTTCAAGGCGTTGAGCTTCGATCGAAGTTAAAGTTGAGTCTAGTTGATGCGATGCGCATCAGAAGCTTGCAGAGAGTTTCGGCTAGAGTGGCTAGACAAACACATCCCGATGCGTTCGCCTTAATGTGGTGGAGGCGCCGGGTCATGCGGTGCGTGTGGTATGAGGGCAACTAAGCTTCAGACTAAGTGCGAACCCATTCAACGCGTAATTATAAAGGCACGAGGGCGAAAGCAATTTAATTGTGACGACCACATAAACGCCCAAGCAGAAGACATCAAAGCATGAGAAAGTTTAGTTCAAGAACAAAAAAAAGTTAATATCACAAAGATGAAAGAATGCGAATGTCAAGGATAAAACTCTTCAAGGATAATTTCCAATGAAAACTTGCGCGGAATGTTTTTCAAGGCTTTCGCGTAGATTCCCTGCATGCTTCATAAATATGTCAAGAGTCTCGGCATTGCGCTTGTTGTATTCCATCCCCCCATGGAACAAAGGACAAGGACTACGATGCTAGATAAAAAAAAAACAAGAAGAACGAAGCTTACAACTACCACAAGTTTTGTCCATGTAGTAATAGTATTAGATTTTGTTTGACAGGTCATCAGGTAGTGAATAATTGTCCCTTGTCTTTTCATGTCCCTACAAAGAGCAAAAGTTGGAAAAAGTCAAAATTGATTTGTACTAACTGAAGTAAACAAACCACAAACCACCAGCGTATCCTACAGGTGCTTCAGAAGATGATAGATTAAGGAAATAAGACGTCTGAACTTGGCGAAGAGAAAGTCGCCGCCAACGAAAATACAATGTGACAGTCAGCGCAGAAATAGAAATTACAGGAATAGAACTAAGGATGAAAAAACAATGCGCGCCTGGAAGACAGTTACAAATGGTGTATTTTGTAAGCAGAAGAAGAAAAAGAAACTCACTTGATATGGGTTATTTTTATCCCATTTTATATCCGAAAATAATTCAGTGTGACAAATTCGCAAAGTTTGATTTATCACACACGACACCAGACACTCTGTATAATTTCCATTTACCTGTGTCACTTTTTCCATGTTCAACCAGCACGCTACGATAGTTTTGCTAGTGAAATTATTCACCTCTCGTACTTTTGACACTTCCAACCCGACTGCATGCCATCGCCGGCGACAGAAATTAATTACCGAAATATGTTCCTCGTCGCGACGGCGTGAAATTCGGCAAATTTTCGCGCCTCCACTCGGCAATCAGTCATAGACCCTCCAGGTAACAGGCATGTAATGATATTTAAAGCCCGAAGCGTTATGCGACTAAATTGCGCTGCTTCCGGTTAACGCATCCACCTAACACTCACACGCACACACATTTCCAGGATCTAGGTACATGAGTATCATATGAGAAGAGTGGCAGACACGCTGTTGCTACTTAGTTGGTTAGTAAGCGTAGACTTTCCCTTTTAAATGATGTATAGCGGGCGCACAACACGTCATCTAGATTAATGTCTAGGCATACGCGTCACAAAGGACTAAGAGGTCCTCGGCGTGCATTATGAATTACGTCGGCTGGCGCCAGGACTCCGGGACAAGCATTTGTTATGCGATGTGGACGGATGTTGTGGCTCTGGCGCGGTTAATTAGTTTCTCCTTTCTTCTACCAATGTGCGAGCATTAAAAAAAACTCCATGCGATACAGAGTTAACGAAATCTATTGTTTGTGCAGGATGTGAGGGGAAATTCGAGTTTGGTGGGCAGGTAATCGAGAATCGAGAACAAATGAGTTTGATCACATTCATCAAGGGTTATTTCTGGAGTACGACTAACGATCGTACTAATTATACCAACCAAGGATAATTAACACATACACATTGTTAGTTATACTTAATTTGATAAACCATAATGGTTATAACTACTTATTCACCATACAAAAATATGTATAATATTGGGATACATTTATAAACGTTCACAAATTATCCTTGAAAATCCTGTGTCCTGTTATCAGAAACGAAACCCACGCTAATTATCATAGAATTTCAGTGAGTCACCATAACACAGGACATGAATAATAGGCATTGTGATAGAATCAAAACCACGAAACCCGATCGCATAAACAACAGAGCGCGGTGGCGGCAGGCGTGCCGGCAACAACCACGGACGGATTGCGCCGCGCCGAAATGGTTGATGGCAAAACGTGACCCACATCAATTACACCGCGCGTCCGTATCTCAGTCAGCTTCGATTCCACGCACGCAATTCGCGTACACCAAACCAGGCAGCAAAACAAACTCTATCATGCAAGCAGGAAGGATGATATCTACAAGGGGATCAGCAATCAATTAATTTAATCCAAAGTATATCGCGCATTAAAAACCCATCAAATCCACCAGAAACCATAAAACACAGCCGGTAATAAACTCATATATTTCGCTGTATATAAATCAAGTGCTCAAAACAAAAACTGCAACTAGGCTAAAAGTTGAGTTTATTAGTGGATTTACTTTGGCGAACGCCGGGTATAAATGTGAATCGTTAATTAAATCAGACGCCCGTCATTATTCATGAATTAAAATACGAAATATATTCTGCAGATACTAAGATAGAATTTGCTTCGAACACCGCGCTTTGATGATTCGTATGCCTCTGTCCATGACGCCTATTTCTGCGCGTTAATTAATCATTAACCGTACGTCGGTGCGTCGTGCACGCCCCAATTATCCTTCCAGGCGTGTATTAATTTTAGCCAACATGAACATCATTTACTATAGGTATATGAAGTCCAGTGCTGACGTCATACAATTCCATTTGCAATTTAATTTTATTAAATTCTTGCTTTTGCCCGCTTAGGTTTTAATAAAATAAATAGTTTACTTATTGCTTTCGTGCTCATATGACAAAGTATTAAGTGTTGATTCCAGGAATAAGATATTCCTTTATATTTTAAAGAAATGAGAAAAACTAATAATGCAGTTTTGCTCTATCGCAATCGGAATTATCATTTCAACTTCCATCCCTTATTCTACACCCTTCAAGTTATATTTATGCAACAAAAACTATCCTATTTTATTTTCCTTAGTCTGAAATATCTCTATACCAAAATTTATCAAAATTAGTTCAGTGGTTTTCGCGTAAGAGCGTAACAAACATACAAACAATCTCCCAGACGCATTTATAATATTACCTCGGATAAAAAATCAAAAACTAAAGTTGATAAACACTGACCTGCTGGAATATTTCCGTTGGGTTCTAACCTATCTAGGAATTCGTCACTGTAGCCGTTGTAGTGTAGCTTTCGCTCATCCTGCTCTTCCTTCGAGACGGCTGTAACAAAATAAACAAATATTATTACATGTCATAAAAAGCCAATGTTAAATCAGCAAAATAAAATAAGTAAAGCTCATGCAAAAGCTCATGAAAAAACAAGTCGAAACGAAGTTAATCAATCATTTTGTTGGCTGTTTTTTGTGCTTGGTTTACTTCGTTTTATGAGAGTTCCCGCTGGAATTGCGTAATGCGAATTTCGTATTGCGATGTTGGTCGTTCGTCCTTTTGACCTTCATCTATTTTTATATATGCCGTTGATCTGCGATGCGCGCAGCATTGCCAACGCTTCAATTCGCGTTCGGGGTGTTATTTTTGTTTTCTGCTGATAATGTAAGTTCTGCGTGGGAGAATTTGTTCCCGGGAGTGAATAGCGGTCGATAAAACGCAAAGTGTACAAAAGTCGATGGGAACAGACATCCAGGCGTCCGCAGAGGTAGTAAACTGAACCGCAAGAAAGCATTAGAAACCTGAATCTGGTATAATTCGATTGAATAACCCAATTTGTCAAAATGCGACTTTGTTATCAATCTCCTAGTTTCACTAAAAAGCCTGATTACAGATACCATGATACTATTAACCCCTATAATTTCCAACGCAGTTAATATTAGTATTCATGAGGAGTTACGACTTGGCTGAATTTCTACTCAGTCCCGTTTGCGGGCTCGTTTCGGGTGCGGGCGCAACCCGAATTTCAGGGTTCACATTCAGCGCCAGCGTCTAGGCCGTTTCCGGCGCTTCCGTTCATTTACATTACACCGCGCCGGCGTTACATAATTGCCAATTGGCGTTATGTTCGGAACGCAACCGAAGTTGAAGCAGACGCAGACACCGACGCCGCACTGTCGGTCGCAGAACTGGATCGTAATAAAACGATGACGGTTCCGAGATAAGGGAGCAAACCAGGCACACCGACCCAGGAATTTCGACCCGCTGCGTCCGCTCCCCTTTTGTCGTCACCGTTTAGTCGAGATCGGACGGCGCAATCCCATTCTACATCATCAACACTCTGCGAACCGAAACGGTGAATTCTACAATGGACATCATCACAGAATGTGTGTCAATTGCAATTCGGACCTTTCGAGAGGGTATCGCACATAATAACGGCTGTCAACATGTACCAATGATCCCGATAATCATGACAAATAGTGAGAATTCAACAAAAAATAAAAAATAAATTTTTCTTGGCGGCAAAATTGTGGTGATTGAAGTATAAATCATAGAAATTGCACATTTTCCAAGAAGCATGCAATACTCGTATAGAGAAAATGCAGTAAACATTACTCACGCCGAGTTAGACTGCACTCGAGCTATTCAAATATGAATTGAATTTTATAATGAAATTGCAGCATCATAACTTATTCACTCATTATGCATTCATTCATATGAGCGATGAGTCAGAGAATCATATTATTTAACGCCCACATTAATACATAAACATAAAATGTTACTCATCACAAAATTAAAACAACATGTAAATTAGAAATGATTTCATCCGTCTGCTGCACAACGTGATGATAATAATGCCATTGCGGTCATCCGAGCTCTCCACAACATTCTGGTCGTCGCCAACTCGGGTGAATTGAGTTCGAGATCAAAATTCAAGCTGCTGAAGTAAAGTAGAGAAGTAGAGCGGTTTGTTGAGCTGGGCGTGCGGGGCGGCACAACAAGAGTGCGCGCGGGATCGATATCAGGGTCACAGTCCTCAGCCAGCAGTGGAGTGCCGCCGCCGTGGATCGGAGTGGCGCCCTGGAATCGCTTCCCGCGCCCTCGAATGTAGGTCACGTGAAGGCGAGGCGGCGGCGGCAACGCATTTTACAGACCACCGCCGTCGTCCTGCGCCCGGGCAGGCAAGCAAAGAAGAGGAAACAAGAGCGGTGCGCACAGTATTCACCAACAGTCCAAACGAATACGTTGGATTTTTTACAATTCGGGTGAGCGTCCAAACGACCACAGCAGAGAGACCAACAACCCGGAGAAAAGTCGAATAACGATGTCGTATCATGTATGATGCAGCATGTGTAGGTGGGACGTGCAGAGACATGAAAACGTTTGGGATGAGGTACAAAGTATCCAACATGGGATGCGGTATATTGAAACATAAAACACGAACGAACCATATCTGCCAATTTAGAAGCAGTGGAATGTAACAAACTCCCACATAAATAATTTATCGCCAAAATAATCATGTCACCGTTTTTTCCCTTTTTTAATACGGCAATATTTGATAACATCCGAAACATGCAGTATGCAAGGTTAACACTCCGTGCACCATATATATTTCCGCAAGCCGGGAGCGTTTTGTAGGGCACGCGCAAACATTTAAATTCAGTTGTTTAGGTTCAACGAGAAGTTCTTGTTGTTGGTAGATAAACCCAGCGAATGGATTAGCTTTATCGCTCCATGCAAACCGCTCCCAGTGAGAACGTTGTGCTGCAACGTTTTGTTCGCGTTGTTCCCCAAATAAAGCCGGAAACGAGCCCGCAACGCTTTTTGTATTCAATGACTTTCCACTACTGCATATATGTATGCCCAGTGTCTGGAAGAACGCCGATAAAATTTTGATTTGAATCTGTTTTGGATCCACTTCTTTTCGTTGAGGTCGTTTACGCTAGATAGATTAGTTAAATCTAAACTTCTATCCTGTGCAGATTGAATGGTGGAATATACGAGTATATAGCACACGTTAAAAATGTAGGAGGTATTTGAGCAAAGCACTCCGTTGTGAACAAATGAAATAAATTTTAATTTCCTACGTTTTCGTTCATTGCGTGTGCGTGTTTTTCTTCCTGTTTCGGGAAGTTTGTATTTCCTATTTCGTTTTATTGCTTTTTTTTCGCTCCATTTCTACCAATTTCCCGTATTTTATTAACATTGGCGCGTGCGACCCGCTGGCATCAAACTGTCTTCTTGTTTTCGGTTATTTAACATAACGGCTTCATTGTGTCACGATGTCACCTCGCCGGAAGCATCACATCTTGGATTACTTAATAATTTACACAGTTCCGGATAATCTGTGATTCAAAAACATCCAATTCGCATTTTAAGATGATTGGAATAAATATATTCTACATCCCTAGGTGTATAATGATAAAATAGGAAAATTAATAATTTAAAGCACAATCTGTGCAGGATGCACCCAGGCTTGACATTTTCGGTCACATTGACAAACTGTGCGCTCGGCGAGTGTTGGTAAATAATGAATATTGTCAATTTGGAGCCAATCTTTTCCGGCTCCCCTCTTTTGCAGCAAGATCGGCTTAATCCTTAATTGCGTTAAAGGGGTTACGGCGTAATGAGAAAATGCCAAAAACCTCAAGAACTCCGATGACTCTTCTCCTTTCCGGGTTTAAAATGTCCATCATAATCTTTTATAATTTAGGCTGGAAACTTTTTGATGACTGCGTCTTTCGCGGCGTAATAATTTAGTTTGTTTGATTACCATCATGAATATTTCAATTTAAGTTGAGTGCAAATGATGTGACATTTTAAAATTTTATACGACACAGAGGTCTAGAGATCAAAAATCGAGATAAATTATTCAAAATTTTAATTTTACAACAATTTTGAAGAACAAGGGACTAAAAATTAATAGCAACAGAAAAACATATCGCATTGCTTCATGAACTCCTACATATTGCAAGAGTTCCGCATCGAAACCTTATTTATAATTCACAAAAACTTTCTGGTGCCTTGTTGCCCCTCTTCATTACATCCAACATGAGTCGACATTCGTCTCTAATACTTTACGTTACAAAGCTTGTGCTGCGTGAACAAACAAAGAATAATCTAATCTAATCGAGTGTATACCTTCGTGTGAATGAACCTCCGAAACTACTCGCAGAGAAAAAAAAACTTGCAAAACTGCAGCGGAGCGCAAGCAATCGACGAGGAAAAAATTCCCAAAGGTATCGAACGCAGTTGAAACTGACAAGTGGAGGCAACTCAAACAGGGCATGAACAAAACTGCCAAAACACGAAAGGAACGACCGACTACACTACGAATCAGGAATTCATCCAGCTCTACTTCCACGAGGAAGCGAAGAAAGAAAGAAAAGCGAATGCAGTCGCTCACACGAGTTGGAGAAACTGCAAGTTTGAAGTTGCAAGCACATATATTCCCAATTCACCATTCCCGGCGCCTCCACCGAACACAAAAACTCCGCAGGAAAGCTTTGTGCACTGTGTAACTAGATGCGACGTCTCGCTGGCCGGAAGAAAAGTTCATGCGGATGTGAAAAATCGACGCGATACATTACTGTCAAAACGGCGAAACTGAAACTAGATTAGGAGTCGCCGTTGTAGCCGGGATAAAGATGGCTTAGGGTCGAAAGTACATAATATGCATGAAATATACTTTTGTCTACGACTCCACATCTAGATCCAGTCCATCACGTCGTGATTTCGCAACAGCTTTATTTGATAATACAGCAAATATTTTCGGGAATAAAAATATAATAAAAGTGATGAATCGTTTATTATTATACAGAAAAAATAAAAATAAAAACGCGAAATAAATGCAACTCAACCGCGAATTACGTCAGTGAGAAATAAATTTAACAGAAGCGCGGAAGCGGGTGCTCATTTAGGAAAAATTGTCGCGTTGGAAAGCAGAAGAGTGGAATTCCACTAGAAACGGTGTACTGAAGTACTGAAAGACACGGAAGAGCGCCGAACAAAGGCAATTCAAGAGCGGGTACAATTCACACACCCTGGAATAAAATCTTAACAAGAAAAAACTAAAATTAAATATAAAATTCTCACTGATATTATATAAGTGAATATTAGTTTGTTTGTTGCACACGCTCAAACCATTGAATTAATTTTGATAAATTTTAGTATAGAGATATATTAGACAAAGGAAAATAAAATAGACTACTTTTTGTTGCGTAAAATTAACATTCAGGGTGTAAAATACAGGATGAAAGTGAGTATGGAAATTCAATCATAATTATAGTTATCTAATTCAAACCGAGGTGGCGCTGTCGGCCCACAATAGG